AAAATTTTGGGAACACTTATCAGCGTGTGTTTGCATGAGATATGAGGTGCATCTGTAGTTTGTAGCTTTATAGAGCCAGTTTCTAGGGCAGAACAGCTTCTAGGTGAACTGGATTCATAATGTTATTCCTGTGGGATTCTTGAAACTACAGGCTTTGTTTCCATAAACATTTCAGTAAATGGCAATAGCTTCATTTGGGAAACACACAAGTTGGTATTGAGTCCTTGATCTTTGGGTTTGTTGCCATTCTGATTGGAGTTATTAATTTCAGAAGTTTAAATCCTAACATCTGAAGCATGAGAGTTGTCTTGTAATAAAGTAAGAGGAACTTGATTTTGGTAAATCAAGTAATGGTAAACGTTTGGTAAACAGAAATGATATTTTCTTCAGGTTTAAATTTGCAGCCTATATTGAAAAAGGTTTTTCTGCCTATCAAAAACATGTTTCTTTTAAAAATGGCATGGTATTTGAAAGGTAGCACGAGAGAAGCTGGTTTCCATTCTGTTCTAATGGCAGTTCAGCTCCAGAATATGAATTTGCATAGTGAATCCAACATTTTCTATAAATATTAAATTCAATTGGAGATTCCTTTCCAAAGATGTTAGCTTGAGCCAGGGTTCTGCCTGGAAGCTGGTGTCTCTTCTGCATGTCCCTTCTCTGGTACAGTATGGAAGCAGTTGTTCTGTAGATGAATGAACTCTGCTCCAGCCTTGTTGGCAGCAAATTTACATTTGTATGGAAGATGAGTGGGAGTGCCGCCTTTCATAAGGCATTGGATGTGGGGGATGGGGCAGTCTGGCCCAGGAATAGTAACCTAACAAACTGGGAACAGAAAATGTGCTGTGAAAGCCTGAGTATTGTGTAAACCTGGAGGATTTTAGACATTATTTCAATGTTTCTTTTTCTGGGACTAAACCTCATAAGCGGTGGCTCGGGATGAGTTCCTGCTGTAGTTCTAATGCACAGCTTTACTCCAAAGGTCTTACTTTATCAAACTGAATCTTGTAAATAGGCAAGACATCCAGAAGAAATTCAGACAAGCTGTCAGGCGAGTTTCCTTAGGTTGGCTGCCAAGTCGTGGTTTTTTCTTTTTTTTTCTTTTTCTTTTTTTTTTTAAAACAAGTTACCTCATCAACCTTCCTGGTTTCAGTAGTCTGTCAGTGTATCTCGAAGAGACACATTTTTAAATCTCCAGATAAACACAGCTTGATCAAAATAAATAAAAAAGCCCCAAGCACTTAAGTTTCAGTTTGACAGCGAAACATTTGGCTCATTTTTTTTGCACAGATAGATGCTACCAAAGACTTAAAAAAAAAATGTCACAAAAGTTGTCAGCTTATAAAATTTTGGAAAATGATCTTTTTTTCCCCACCAGACAATATGTTATGTAAGGAAATGTTATAGCTTTAAAGTTTCCCACAGCTTGATGTCTTGTTGCTTTTAGTTTTGATTAAATAGAGTAAAAACTATAATGAATTAGGAATTATGAAAGTCATAATTTACGTTACGAAAAATGTAAATTTTGAATCTCAGTACTGTAGATCAGGGCATTGGTTCAAAAAATTCCTTGGTAATACAATATGTAATTAAAAACATTGCATCTTGCTGCAGAAAATTGAAAATCTGTTGGTCTTTTTAGCCTGATTTTTGGATGGGAGCGCTCTTTGTGTGGCAAAATGTGAATTGGTGTTCATCACAAGATCATCCTTTTGTGTAGTGCTGACATCCTTCACATCCAGTCTCCAGTGATGGGGCCCTGGTTGTGTGAGAGACTTTCTGGTGTTTTTGTAGTTATTATGAAAAATCAAAAGTTTCTAAGTAATCAATATAAAGTGGACTTAGACCTCTGGAGTTATGAATTTAAGGAGTGCAGCTATTGGATTCACTTAAGCTATTCTAGACAGCACAAACATTTTTGATTCACAAGGTAATGATTTGATTGCCAAGATGACCTTTATAGGTTTTGCTTTTATGGTAATGGTAGGTTTCAGTTCTGATGCAACGGTATAAACCACAAAAGATGTCAGGATGCAATGCCAAGAACCTGAAATGACTAGGAAGTCATAGCAAAATTATTTGCCCTATTTTAGTTAATTTTTAGTTTTTTCACGGATATTGAGTAATACTTGAAATTCACTGTAAATGCCAATTACAATTTAAGATAGGTAGTTTATATTCAGCATAGAAAGTACAATATGCAAGCTGAGCACAGCTCAGAGATGAACCACGTGATTCTACACAGATATGTCTTTGTGCATATGTAAATGCACTCTCTGATATAGTAGATACAGACTCCTTTCTTATTTATCCCCCTTTGCAGTTGCTTTGGTGAGCAGAAAATTTGAGTAATAGGATAATAGCTTATTCAGGAATTCTCAGTTATGTTTCAGTGAAATGTACAGAGGAATTGCACAACTTCTAAGTGACTTCCTGTGGTCATTGCTTTTCTGACTGTGAAACTGGTCTGTCCTTGGTCATCTTCCACTGGTGCTGTTTGAAAACCTGTGGGCTGCAGAAGAGCTGAAAGAATTGTTGTTTTGATGATACTGAAGTTAATAGATGGAAAATTCCTGTCATTTTCACCTTGGAAATGCTCTATCCTCTCATATTTTTTTCTTCTACAAGACAGAGAATTGGTAGATTTTGGTAGCAGGCAGTGGAATGGGGTCTGAATCAGCATGAATGAGAAGAGATTTCTTCTTATCAAAAGACAGAAAATGCTGACCAGAATCCAAGCATAGACCCTTCCTAGAGACCTCTGAGAGATAGGGTTGGTTTCTGTCTAGTGTGTAAAAAGTAAAATTCCAGGACCTCTTAATATTCTTTGATGTTTTGTGATACATTTGGCCTTTCCTGGGATAATTAAAGGAGATTAAGTTCTTCAAGTCTTTAAACCCTGATGTTTTTCTACCCTGGAAACATTTATTTCGGATCTTTCATTTTATCAATATTCATTTCAAAATACAGGCCACAGACATGATTTTCCATGGTGATGCCATCAATGTTATATTTCGAGAGAATACCACTAATTTATGATGTATAAGTTCTCTTGGTCTGTTCAGAGCTTCCTTGAACTGTCATAGCTACACACTATTTTTAGAATTACTTTTCAGTTTACTAATTCACTGTTACACCTTGTTCCTTTTTGGAGTTTGGATGCCTTTTAGGATGCAAGACACTGTTGTCTTCAGCAAGCACTACCTTTGGACTTTCTACCTAAATAAAGCCAAGAATGGTAACGCTGGCTGAGCCCAGTGCCTTATCTCTGATAGCAGGTGTCTAAGGCAGAGACTCTTCCCAGAACACTTGCAACTGTTTGTGACTCTGGGTCAACTTCAGTGTAGTTTCCCTCTTTTAAGAGTTCTTGGCAGATTCTTCAATGCATTTGTCCAAACACTTGTGCCCATAATTGTGATTCTTTTCCCCTCCAGCCTTTTACAGCAAGAAATAACCCAAAGTGACTGCTGTGTAAAGCAGTAGCTCCTTTTGTTTCTTTGGAAATTGCTCTTAGCCTCGTTTAATTCACCCCAGTATTGGCAAGCTGATAAACTGCCCTTCCCTAGTTAACCAGGCTAATCCTTGCAGGAGGATACTGGAAGTTCATGGCTCTTTCCATTTCTTGATGTCTTCAAATCAAGATTCAATGAAGAACTTTCTCAGCGCTTTTTCAGAGTGCTGCACCTAAACAGGAATTAATTGGTTGGATTATGTCCAGGAGATCCCAATGCTACACTACCCTTTCTCTTTCCTTGTTGCTGCAGAGCAAAGCAAATTTTCTTCAGATTTATAAATTTGCTGGAGGGAAGAAGAACTGAGTTAGGAGCTTACTAAAGTTGCTGGTGAACCAACTTCGAATTCCCTCTTTTAATCCCCTTTCCTATTTTTTTTTAGTGAAGTTGAGTGTTAAGGTAGGTATTCTACCTCCCCCCCCCCCCCCCCACAGGTTTTTTGTTAGACTCTTTCTTGGTGCTGCCTGCATCTGGAAACTGTTTGGGAACTATTTTCTAGAATTACCTGTTTATGTAATCGATAAAATTACATTTTGTGTCCTTTGGTTTTTTTAATATCTTTCAGTAATACATCCTTTAGTGTAACGTGTTACAGAAATACTTTCTCATCTCTAATTAGAGACTTACCTGCAGACCTTGTAGGATGTTAAAATCACTGTCTAAGGGTGGTGTAATCTTTTGGTGAAATGACAGGTAAATGTAAGTTTCTAAAGGTAGTATTTAGTAAAAAATTTTCCATGTCAGAGAGTTGCTTTTAAATTTCATTTGTGCTTTGCTTGTTTCAGTTTGATCCTAAGTATTTTCTCCCGTCCTCTTTCATCAGTGATTTTCTGTGGTAGATTGTACTGAAGGAAAAAAAGCAGAGTGGATGAGTCTTAACATTAAATAGAGGGGAAGAAAAGGTGATCGCCCCATTTATGATGTTTTTGGTGGTGGTTTTTGATCTGACATTTAAGCAAACACTGAAGGAGGGGAGGGGACAGGGAAGCTGGAGGAAAAGCCATGCCTGTTTTTTTCCCCAGCAGCCCCAGTTGGCTTCTCTACCCCAGAAACTGGGTAAGTGTGGCAGGCAGCCAATTTGAAAGCATCCTCCCTAAGAAAGCTTGAAATTTGGAAGAGAACAGATGATTCTCATGGTATTTCAAGACTCATGCCAGGCTCAATCAATTACAAGTCACTTGTGAAGACATATTGAGAATTGGCAATGTCTGAATATTATGGTAAATAATCCAGGAAGGATTGTGTGCCAATAAGAACGCTTCCAGTTATGTTATGGAAATTAGTTATGGTTATGTACTACTGTTATCTGGCTGAAACATTTTCATTTAGTGGTTGATTTAGGAGGAGAATACAATGGGAATGGTATTGCATGATTATTAAGATGCCTTGATTCCTCTCACAGAATGTGTTGTTTAATGCTGGTGGCCTTAGAAGAGGTAAGATCAATGATCTTGGTTAGTGCATGGTCTAATATAAATATTTCTAAAATGTATTGTAGACTCAAATAAATTTCAAAGTGCATGTAATGTATGTAAGCATGCATACCAAAATGTTTTGTTTCTATGAGATTTTCTTAGGTAAAAGTAGAATGTGTATGGTACTAATGTCTGATAACTGAAATTAGCATTTTGTATTTTTTTCTGAGGAAACTTATTTGATGGCAAAATGCAAGAAATTATATTGAAATCCATCACGAACATTATCACAGTAAAGTCCTATGATCATTTTACGTTCCTGTGTGCTTTTAAACAGAGCATAATCAGTATTTTTATGTTGCTCTCCGCCCCGCTGACACATCCCTAAGTTCTCCCGCAGAGTTTCGCGGCTGGCTCGCTGTTCCCCAGCCACATTCGCAAAAGAAGATGCTGTTCCTTTAAAATGAAGAGGCTCATGGAGTTGTTTTCACTAGCGCAGGTTTTTATATGGTACAGTAGGCTCCATGCAAATGAGCTCTGCCCTCTCCGGAGGCACAAAGGCGCTGCAGCCCTCGCTCGGCGTTCGCGTGTGGAAAGCGGCAGATGGATGGATGGAGGGAGGGAGGCACGGCAGCCGCAGGATTTATTAGCTGCTCTCAATAAAAGACCACACTCGCTCCGCAGAGGATCAGAAAACAGCCTGCTGAATGGGATTGAGTTGTCTCTGCTTTCAGCTGACTTTACAATGATGTGTTCGGCTCATGTGACTCGGTCACTTAGCATGAAGATCAGCTAAAGATTTGCTGTAAATCTGTGCTCCGTTCAGCCCCGCCGGGCCCGAGTGCCGGTCCGAGGCTCCTTTGGCTGTCGGGGCTCCGCTGCTGCTCCGGGTGCACACCTGAGGATGCCTGCCTGAAACCCCCTCATAAACACAGCTCTCGCCGAAGTTTGATTCCTGTATCTCATGAAATCCTTCCGAGTCTGAAGTTAGGTTCTTCTTAAATGCACTGATTATGTTCAGAAGTTATAAATAGACTCTCTTCCTAAGCTTTTACCGGGAGATGAAATCTGTTGCTTTAGCTTTCTGCTAAAAAAAATGAAGGTCATTGCGGCAATAGGTTGTACATTATATTTGCAATACTTTCTTTTTTCCTTTTTAATCTAGAAAAGGGCATGTGTAGGACAAAGGCTTCTTGACATGCTCAGTAATGTAAATGATACTGGGACGAGCATACCTGGATTTTTGGCTTTACTGAAATGGTGTTCGGTATAGCTAGAAGCTTTGTTGTTCTATTTTTCAACACATGCTGTATGCTCATGTTTTAAAATGGACCTAAAGGGGCAAAGCCCTTTCTGACCTTGCTGGAGCTGTCTGTGTGAAGGTAGCTGGAAAGCAGAAACTGCAGGACAGACTGAAAAAGCCTCAGCTGAAGTCTGCTTTTTTCCTTTTTCCCCCCCCCCTCTGCCTTTTTGCTATGGATGACGATGAGGGAAGGGCTACTTCAGACAGCTCTGTCAGTGATGAATAGATGAATGAATCCTTAAATGTTCAGAACTTGCAACATGTGTTCCAGACCCTTCAGCGCATGAGAGTTGCAAGATCTCAGCAATGAGCTGAAGAATGTGCCGTGCCTGCTGCATGGAGGAGCCCAGCATGCCTCAGAGATAGCAGAAACAAAAGAATGTGTGACACTATCTGAAGAATCTGACAGTTGCTTTGTCTTGCAGAGGAGTAAAGGAATTTTTCAAAATTGGGAAAAATAAAATTTCCATGGTTTTCCTAGCGAGAAAGAATTTTTCTGTATTTTAGGTGCCAGTGTATCATTCTGTGTGCCCACAGTATTGCTTTTTTAGTTAGCATGACTGTGTGTTTTTTAAGGGAAATGTGACCTGGATTTTGTGAGCTTATTACACCCAGTAAATGAAGGCAGCTGTTTTAGCTTTCTGATCCCTTATAACAGCTCAGGTCAATTGAAATAAAGCAAAAATGCCTGTGAATGGGATCTGAATTAAATTCCACTCTTTGGCCTTACGTGGAGTTGTGGATTATTATTGTTATATATTTGTAGACAGTTGTGTGTATGAGGGGAGTGAGACATCCATCCTTGAAAAGATTTAGGAAAGTCGAACAGATTTTTTTTCTAATATGACCTGCTAAGTCTGCCACAAAGAGGCAGGTAAAATTACAAACAGATAGTCAGAGAGTGTGGCTGCAGTTCTTCCTGACAGGCAAGTGAAAGACCATGTCCTATTTTTAGCAAGTGGACGGAGGGCGAGTGGGAGGGGGAGAAAAGTTTGAAAATAATGGACTTCCTTTGCAGTTAGAGAGCAAAGCTAGTGAGAAGTAAGTGAGCTTTAGTGATCAGCAGTGGAAATATGGATGATTCAAGTATTCTTCGAAGGAGAGGGCTGCAGGTAAGCGTAACTTCAGCCTTTTTTTATTCTTCTGCTTGTAATGTTGACAGTCTCATAAAAATGTTGACACTTGTTTGGTGTAAATCAGGTTGACTGAGAACATAACAGTGATACTAGAATTTGAGTTTTCCTGTTTTCATCTAGTGTATATTTTATAAAATAAAGGCAGCATTTTGTATGCAGTAATAAAATAATATTTTAATGTCTTGGATTATATCCAGTAGTTTTGTGACTATTCCTGTGGTAAGAAGGGAAGTATAAACTATGAGGCTTACCTTATTTTTGGAACTTCACTTTTACAGATACATACACTAATCTGTTACATGACTTGTCAGACTTGCCTTAGAGTAGCCATTTTACTTGAGCATTAATTAAAAATTAAATGTCAGAGCAGATTGAATATTCTCATTTATTTTTGACATATTCTTCTTCATTGCTTCAAATGCACAGTCACCCAAAACCAGAATGCAATTCAACAATGCAAATAGTATTTAGATTTTACTTTCAACAACTATCATGGTTAAAATAAATACTCTAATTTGTTTTGAATTCAAACATACTAGTGAAGTTTTATTTTGTACTGGTGCTGTGGAAATTGGACTCGGTAGCACTGGTCTGACAAACAGAAATCTGTGTCAGTGGGGTGTGAACTGAACTGATGCTTATGGAATAAAACTGCTGGAAGTGAGTGAGCTTCAAAATCTTGTGTGAGATGGACAGGGAATAGATTTGTGCTTGAGACCAACATATTCTTCCCCTCCACCTCCCCTTTTCATTGTAATAGGATGGTATATAGCCTATTACATACTTGCTAGCATAAGTAATTGTTTATAGACCATGAACATTGCCTATTAAATTAACCATGTCTGTCCCGTAGTTTAACTTCCTTTGAGGAAAATAAATGAACTGTTTTAACATATTGCTATTCATGCCTTGCTGATGCTTTAAGGCAATTACAAAGTAATTGTTGCCTTATGTGAATATGTTCTACATCTCATATTTTTATTTATTTATTTATTGCTTATTAATATTACTGAAATAGCTTGACATAGTGTGCTGCATATACCATGATGACAGTGTATTAGGATAGGGCATTTCCTCATCATAAAATTAGCTGTATTTGCTTTCTGTATAACTGAGTATATAGGAATAAGTAAGATTATTTGGGGGTGAATTTTTGAATAAATTGATATTTATTTTCAATGTATCTAATTAGTTAGAGTTTCATAGCCAAGAAGATTGTTTCTGTCCACAGATAATCAAAATTTTTTCCAAGCCATTTATTGCTTTTCTGAACCCAGTATTTCTCGGGGTTGTTTTATCTGTTTGACATGCCGGGGAGTGGTTTTCATGGTAATTCTTCAGGGGAATATTGGAAAAGAAAGGGAGGTTGGAGGAGCCCAAATATTCACCAGTATCAGCAGAAGACACTGCTGGGGATGAGAATGCATTTCCCTTGTTTAACTCTGTAGCATGGTGAAATTCCATCATTTTGGTGGTCTTGAATAGACATCATTTTGATGTCTAGATGTGGTTTTGTGTCTGTCCACAGTTGGGTAGGTATGTGTAAATGCATATACATAGATATATGTATATAGGTATAAGTGATATGTAAATAAAAAATGCTTCAGGAACTTAGAAAATAGGCTAAAAGGACATCAGGAAGTAAGGCAGATGTCCAAAAGGAAGTTAATGCTAGATTTCCCCCCCCCCCCTCTGTATTTTGGAATAGAATTTTTGGAAGAAACTGTGGCTTGGAAAAGAGACCATTTTACAATCAATTTCAACTTCAGAAATCAGGAAAAATTAAAGAGCTTTTGGGACATTGCCAAGGCAATGTATTTATTTACTTCCCTTGGAGAGCTGGGTGATATTAGTTTGAAAGGCCACTGATTAAAAAAATTAGTTTCTTAGTTCAAGCTGGATGTTGATGGCTTTTAAAATGAACATCACAGCCCAAATTAGGTTCTCTAATCCAACCTCTCCACTCAAAGCAATGCTAATTCCAAAGTTAAATCAGGCTGCTGAAGGACTTGTCCAGGCTGGTCTTGAATGTATCTATGGATGGAGATTTTGCAGCCTTGTTTGGCACCTGTTCTGGTACTTAATCCTGTGCACTGTGAAAATCTTGTTTCCTTTATGTGCCACTACAGAGCACTTTCTAAATGTACATATATGTTTTCCTCCTGCTTCTTTTTACCTCCATCACCTAAAATGCTTGTGGTACCAACACTGTGATAACTTTGTCTTCTTGGGGAACTCTCTCAGCCCTGATCCCTGCAGTAAATAGCTGTGGACTAGAGGGAGAAAATAGCCTAAAAGAGCAGGAATGTTCCTACATGCAAAGTCAATATATGTAGCCCTTCTGTATCACCCTCTTAATTTGTTCAGTTCTACTTTTGTTGCATCCTGTTTGTTTGATCTACAAATTTGTAGTGGTGAAATGTGTGGAAATTTAAGGTCCAGGAGAGGCAAATTGGATTTTCTGTGTACATGTAACTGTATATATTTATATATTTATAATATACACACACACATAGCATGCTCACAGTGTGACGTAGCTGTGCAATAGTATTGAGAAAAGGCTGAGAAAGTGCTTCTAATAATGGAATATTCCTTTAATTTCTAGGCTTTCATTTTAGGTAATGAACTTGGACTTTTGACATAAATTACTGCCTAGGGACAGGTGCTAAGTGGTGGAGCTGTAAATGGTGGAGCTGTTGCTGCTGCACTGTACTCTGTACATGTGTATTTGGATTTCTAAGTTATTTGGTGTTGCATAAAATGCATTGTGATGTAGCCACAAATTTTAGGAGTCTACCTAAGTTTTTTTTTGTTCCCTGTACATTTGTTGTTGCTGATTTTAGTGCAGATCACAGCAGTAGCACCCAGTGAGTCCCTATGAAGATGAATTGGTATTTTGAACATCAATTTGTACTAGAAAATGGTGAGGGGTTTGTTTATTTTGCATTGCAGGAGTGCATGTGTGCTTTTACTCGGTTCACACATGCAAGAAATTGGGGTTTCTATCCCCCAAATCCTGATGAGTGAATGCAAGTAAAAAAAGTAATGGAGAGTATGATATTTCAAATTTCAGACACTTGCATGCATCTTATATTCTGCATTTGTGCTATGTGAGCAGTATTCAGATGTGGCTGGACATTATCACCACATTCCCTGCATCCATGTTTCCTTACAGTGTGGTATCTCCTTTTCATTTGCTGCTGAAATTTGGGCTAACTTCAACTAGGTAATTTACTTAGTGGGACCACATTTGTGCTGGTTTCAGTGGTGATCTGAAAGATAAACTGCATCACAGGGCTTGAATGTGCTTATCTTGGCTAGTGTTTCTACTGCACAGATGTTTGGCTAAAATATAATATATATATAAAAAACCATGCCTCCCACCCCACCAGAAGAATGATTCATTAATTTAAAAGATAAATCTTAACATTTTCCTCCTGGGGGTAGGGGGGAAATAGGGCATGGAGAGTATAATCTCAGAGTATTTGGTGGACTTGTTCTTGAGCTGATTTATTTTACTCTAAGGGCTGAGCACTTTTTTGTTTTGTTTTATAGGGAAAGGGAATCAGAAAATCAGTGGAATCTCTAAGCTTCAGTATATTTAATAAGAGAAGGCTGACTGCACTGTAAGGTTTAAGTCTTTTCTGGCACACGTTTGGCCATAATTTAGAGACCCTGAAACTTGACAAGCTCTTCAATTTTGTCTCCTAAAAAATGTCTTTTGAAATCATTAAAGACATTTTTTGCTGGCTACAAAGCTTATTACAAAATCTGATAAAAATGAAGCTAGTAAGAATGTTAATTTTTACAGTATTTTTATAAAAAGTTAAAGTACAAATTACCTATAAGTTGTTCACAGTGGGACACTAAATGGGACTCAAAATTTGATTTTTCTGTTCTGCTTTACAAAAACTTCTGAAATATACATTAACTAATTACTATCTACATTTTAAACTGAAGATTACCTTTGTAATTTTAGCATGAAGATGGATGCATGCATGCATACATATGTAAAGATCTTCAGATGTTACCAGTGTCTTGGATTTGAGTTTTTAGAACTATGTGCGGCAGGGGAGCCTGCCATGGGAAATACATTACCAAGACTTATTTCATACTGCTCACAGATTTACCAGGAACATAACTGAACTCACAGGTCAGATATCTGCTGAAGAGCTTCCAACAGTGATGATGTAGGCAGTCACCACTTACACTGACATCTGAGGAAGGGGTGATAACATGAGAAGATAAATAAAAATGATTTATTCAGATACCGAAATTTGAAACTCATCTTAGAATACCAGAAAGTGCATACCAGTTTTCTTTTTAAAAACATTAGTTAATGTCTAACTAATGTTTTTTAAACATTAGTTTTTTTCAGGTTGGCATCCAGAAGAGGCAAGATTTGTGTTCAGGCTTGGTTCCTGTTCCTGCAGTAAATTTCCAACACCTAAAATGAATTAAAAGGACAATCTAAGTTCTTTAACTTCTGTGGAAATTGGCAGCTGACAGGAGGAGTGGAATCTGCATTGGTGTTACCTGTGTGGAGAAGGGAAATGACCTTGCTAATGTACAGAGCTTGGCTGTGGGTGTCCAGGCTGTGTGGACAATGGGCTCTGTCTTCTGCTGAGGAGAAGAATTGGGGAACTCTGACTACAGATGAATGGTTGCTAGAATTCATTAACTACATCAGCCATAAGCAACTTGTTTTGACTAAAGTCAGTGGAAAAAAAAGGGTGAAGTTTTATTTTATTGGTGTGTTGTAATCTGGTGCTGGGATGCTGTATGTCACAACGTGGGAAAATGGATTGTTGTGAAATCTCTGTGGTACATCTCATTGTAGGACTGAGGGTTCATGCTCAGACAGGTATGAAGCTTTGTGGGTTTTTGGTGGATGTCTTCTGGGCATGTGAGCTTTCCCACTGGTTTGATTTTTCACGTTTGGTGCTTGTGGTCCACTTGGGAATGGAGGAGGGAAT